TGCTGGGAAGGGTTTATTCGGCCGAGTAGCTCGCCGTGGGGAGCACCCATTCTGTTTGTGAAGAAGAAGGACGGCTCACATCGAATGTGTATTGATTACCGAGAATTGAATAAGCTGACGGTCAAGAACCGTTACCCGTTGCCGAGGATCGACGATTTATTCGATCAGTTACAGGGAGCATCTTGGTTCTCCAAGATCGATTTGAGGTCGGGCTATCATCAGGTGAGAGTGCGGGACGAGGACGTCCAGAAGACAGCATTCAGGACGCGTTATGGGCATTATGAGTTTGTGGTGATGCCTTTTGGGCTCACCAATGCCCCGGCTGTGTTCATGGACCTCATGAACAGGGTATGCAGGCCGATGTTGGATCGGTCGGTGATTGTATTCATCGATGATATTCTGGTATATTCGAGATCTAGAGAGCAGCATGAGGAGCATTTGAGGGAAGTTCTTGGAGTTTTGAGATCGGAGAAACTTTATGCAAAGTTTTCCAAGTGCGATTTCTGGTTGCGGGAGGTCCAGTTTCTGGGGCACCTCGTTAATCAGAAAGGGATATTGGTCGATCCGGCCAAGGTTGAGCGGTGATGAGTTGGGAGGTGCCAAAGTCACCCTCTGAGATCAGGAGCTTCCTTGGGTTGGCAGGGTACTATCGGAGGTTTATCAAGGATTTCTCCAAGATCGCAGTGCCACTCACCAGATTGACCCGGAAGGGTGTTACATTTTTATGGGGTCCCGAGCAGCAGACCTCCTTTGAGACGCTTCGCCAAAGGTTGTGCGAAGCTCCGGTATTAGCTCTTCCGGAAGGGATGGAAGATTTTGTGGTATTCTGTGATGCATCGATTTTAGGGCTGGGAGCGGTGCTGATGCAGAAGGGACATGTGATAGCATATGCATCGAGGCAGTTGAAGCCTCATGAGACGAGATATCCCACACATGATTTAGAGTTGGGGGCAGTGGTGTTCGCTCTCAAGATTTGGCGACACTACTTGTATGGGGTTCGTTGTACGATATACACGGACCATAAGAGCTTGAAGTACTTGATGGATCAGCCTAACCTAAATATGCGGCAGAGGAGGTGGTTAGATGTGGTCAAGGATTATGATTGTGAGATCTGTACCACCCGGGCAAGGCTAATGTGGTAGCCGACGCATTGAGTCGCAGGGCGGAGAGTACTCCACTGCGAAATGTATGTTTGAGATTGACCGTGATAGCTCCAGTTCTGGACGCCATTCGTGGGGCACAGGCCGAGGCTGTGCATCGGAGATGCAGAAGAGAGAACGGGTCGTTGGTTTGGTTTCAGAGTTCGTTTCGGATAGTCGAGGGCTTATGACTTTTCAGGGCCGGATTTGGGTACCGTTTGTGGCGGTACACGTACTACATTGATGGAGGAAGCTCATAGATCGAAATTTTCGATCCATCCCGGGGCTACAAAAATGTATTTGGATTTGAGGAAAGAGTATTGGTGGCCTTGTATGAAGAGGGACGTCGCATGGTTTGTCGAGAGGTGTTTGACCTGTCGAAGGGTTAAGGCCGAGCACCAGAGACCGCATGGCAAGTTGCAGCCATGGAGGTTCCCGAGTGGAAGTGGGAACAGATCACTATGGATTTCATCACCAAATTGCCGAGGACTGCCATAGGAGTTGATGCAATTTGGGTGATTGTGGATAGGTTGACGAAGAGCGCTCACTTTCTTGCCATCAGTGAGAGTTCTTCGGCGGAGAAGTTAGTGGAGGTTTATGTGAGAGAAGTGGTATCTCGGCATGGGGTGCCGATCTCGATTGTTTCGGACCGTGATGTGCGCTTCACTTCCCGATTCTGGAAGAAATTTCATGAGGAGTTGGGTACTAAACTGCATTTTAGTACCGCATATCACCCCCAGACAGACGGCCAGAGTGAGCGGACGATTCAGACGCTTGAGGACATGCTTCGAGCATGTGTATTGGATTTTGGGGTAGCTGGGATACGTATTTACCCTTGGCAGAGTTTTCCTACAATAACAGCCATCATTCGAGCATCGGTATGCCGCCCTTTGAGCTGTTGTATGGTAGGAGGTGTCGGACTCCCATTTGTTGGGGTGAGGTTGGGCAGAGAGTGATGGGCAGTACAGAGATCGTGATTCAGACGACCGAGCAGATACAGCGGGTCAGACAGAGGTTATTGACCGCCCAGAGCCGAAAAAAGTGTTATGCGGACAGGCGCCGGTCCGAGCTTGAATTTCAGGTCGGCGACTTCGTTCTCCTGAAGGTTTCTCCTTGGAAAGGAGTGATTCGGTTCAGGAAAAGGGGCAAGTTGGGGCCCCGATTTATAGGTCCATTTCGTGTGATTGCGAGGATAGGCCGGGTAGCCTATCGGTTGGAGTTGCCAGCAGAGTTGGGACAGATTCACGACACTTTTCATGTGTCGCAGTTGAGGAAGTGTATAGCCGATGAATCGGCAGTGGTTCCGTTGAGGATATTCAGGTGGATGCAAGCCTGAATTATGCCGAGAGACCAGTGGCCATCCGGGATCGGAAGATCAAGGTTCTGAGAAACAAGGAGGTACCTCTGGTGTTGGTTCAGTGGCAACACCGGAGGGATCAGAGATGACCTGGGAGCCAGAGCGTATGATGCAGGAGCAGCATCCGGAGCTGTTTTTAGAGCGAGACTTCGAGGGCGAAGTCTAGTCCTAGTGGGGGAGAGTTGTAACAGCCGGATTTTATCAGGTATCTTGTATATTGTATTTTTGGTGATTTGTGAGGGGACTCGGCGAGTTGGAGCTCAGACTCGCCGAGTAGGGACGCGGATCTGGACGGGATCGCGCCTGGACTCGACGAGTCCAGGATATGGACTCGGCGAGTCAGCGCTGTGTAATGAAACCCTAATTTCTCGGGTTTGAGACCTATTTAAAGGGCCTAATGGCCGTCATTTGTGCTCACCAGTCCCTTGAGTGAAACCCTAATCGAGTGTGAGCATTTGGAGCTAAGTAGGAGGCCATTATTGATCTTGGAGGTGCCATTGTTGCAAGGAAGGAGAAGAGCTAGCCAAGGGAAAGCAAGAGGAGCCACTTCTGTGGGTTTGGAGTCCAGAGCATCACTTTTGTGGTAATAAATCGAGTTACTTCTTCGTTGTTGTTTATCTAGATTTAGGGTTTGTTGAACCCTTTTATGGCAAGATCTAGTGTCCTCTTGGTCCCTTATGAGGTTTGAACCATAGATCTGGACCCTTAGAGGTCCAGAGTGTCCCTTTACCCAAGCTTTTTGGGAATCAATGGAGGCTTTGGATTGGAATCCTCATGCCTTAGGTCAAAACTCCATTTATGAGCTATGGGGTGTGTTATGGGCACCAAGATAGGAGCTTTACGTGATGAATCAGTCTAGGGAGGCCAAATCTATAGTTTATGGAAGCAGATCTTACCTTAGAAGCAAGTTGGAGTGGTTGCATGGCATGGACTCGCCGAGTCTGTTCATCCGACTCAGCGAGTAGTTTGAAGATTGCCTTGGGATTGCTCAGTGAGTGGTCCAATCGAGTCATGGGTAGACTCAGTGAGTCAGGGTGAGTTGGAGAGGGATGACGAGTGGACTGAGTCAAACTGGACTCGCCGAGTTGTCCTTGAGACTCGGCGAGTTGAGTCGGGGTGGCCCCGCGATTCTTTCAGGTGAAACTCGTCGAGTAAGGGGGGGGGGGAATACTCGACGTGTAGTAAGGGATTTCAGAGGGTTGGTGAAAACGTCTAGACTCGCCGAGTCGCCGTGGCACTCGCCGAGTCCGGTCAGAGTTGACCGTTGACCGTTGACCAGAGTTGACCTGTGTTGACTTCTTATGGATAGTCAACCTTAGAGATATAAAGTGTTAATTAGAAACATATAATGTTATAGGAGGATTAGAGCTCGTAGGATCGAGCACGAGGGATTTCCAGGATTCGTGAGATACCGAGATACGCGAGGTGAGTCTTCTCACTATACTATTACCTTGAGTAGGTAACCAGAGTTGTGTGATAGAGTATTTGTATGCTATGTATGTTATGTGTTGTACTGCATTATTTCTATGTGATTTATGTGGTGCATGTTTATCAGGGCTAGAACCTGAGGGTTCACAGAGTTTGGGTGCACGGACCCACAGAGTTATAGCCTCGAGTGGCTAATATGTGTTATATGTGGTATTTTGGGGAACTCACTAAGCTTTGTGCTTACAGTGTTTGATGTTATTGTTTTAGGTACTAGTGACGACCGCGGGAAGGCACCGGCTTGATCCGTACACACACACTCGGAGTTTTACATTGTGATCTTGGGATTTTGTATTGACCTATATTGGATAATTAATATGGTTGTTGATGAATATTAATCGAATTTTGTTTTATAAGAAAATTGAAAATTTTGTTTTGAAATTTACGGTGTTACAAACACGGAGGGCACCTATAATAAAACGGGCGTCCTCTACAAATGTCGCTTTATAATTTTAATAAACGCACGTTTCTGGGACTCCTTGATAGGTAAGGGGGGAAACTAAATCCCCCAAAATTTTGAACACCCGCTTCCTCTTCCTCTCTACTCTCTACACCCGCGAAAATCGACTTCATTCTCTCCCTTCTTTCTCTCTGCAAACCCTTTCCTCTCCGATCGACTTTCACTTCCTTCTATGTGCAAACCCTAATCAAACATAACACATTTGAAATAGTAATATCTTCTTTCACAAAATAGAAGATTGATCGAAGAATGATTTTCTTTTGATGAATCGGACATCACCAACAACGATAGCTTCCATCACAATTTGTGTTTGCTTTCAGACTCCACCGTTACAACATCGCACCACAACACCAGCCCTGAGCCACCACCACACTGCCTTCGCAACAGCCCAGAACCACCACTATACCACCACTGTTGCCTATATCATCTGCGTAGTAGGCCTATTTCAAAGGTAATTCTTCCTTTTTCAACCATAGTTACCTGTTTCATGTCCTACTGGTCCTTCTTTTTGGATGATTTTTTGTGCCTTTTTACCCTCTCTCATATATTTTCATGGAATTGTTAATATTTTATGATATAAGTACCTGATTTTTTTATGCACACTAGGTGTTTGACTAAATGTTTGAACCAAAAGGGGATTGTCCAAAGATTAATGAACAAGGTTCAAAGCAACCTGCCACAGTGACAACCTCAGAGGTAAATAAAAAATTATGTATTCCTATTAGATTCAATTTACTATTATTATACATACACATGAGTAGTAACCAGCCAATTGTGTTTTGATAATGATAAAAAAATCAATTTAGTGTTTAGGAGTTGGAATTTAATTTATGTAATAGGAATTGAATCTCATTTACTTACAATTTCTAAACTGATTTGATTCCCTTTACTATCTCAATATGAGAATCCAGCAATACAGTCACAACTGTGATCTGTTACTGTAGAGTTGCTAACTAAAACCTGTGTCCAAACTCTAGAAGGTCACACACACAATGTTTCTGCTGTATGTTTCCATCCCGAGCTTCCAATAATAATGACAAGTTTAGAAGATGGTACTGTCCGTATATGGCATTCAACCACTTACAGGTGAGCTCTTGTTTTTTTACCTTTAAGGGTGTGTTTGTTTTGTAGATTCTAAAAGAATCGGAATGCTAGATTCCATGTTTGATGGATGGAAGGAATTCAATATCTTTCTTCATTTCCTATCAAAAGACCAAAATACCCTCGTTATACATATGTTAAAAATGTAAACTTTTTGACTTTATGCCACTCTTTTTTTTTTATTCAGACTTGAGAACACCTTGAACTATGGACTTGAAAGGGTTTGGGTTGTTGGATACATGAAAGGTTCACGTCAGTATGTTTGTATAGCACTTTTTGTTTTTTGTTTTGTGGGTCTTGAATCTTGATGCTTCTTCATTCATCTGGATTTATTTTAATTATTGTTTTTACAGGATTGTTATTGGCTATAATGAAGGAACCATAATGGTGAAAATTGGACGTGAAGAGCCTGTAGCCAGCATGGACAATAGTGGAAAAATTATATGGGCTAAACATAATGAAATTCATACTATTAACATCAAGAGTGTGGGAGCTGATCATGAGGTTTGGACTTTAAAGCCCATATACATGTTATGTTATGTTAACAATGAAATGGGAAAAAAAATCTATTTTTTATTCAGGTTTCTGATGGAGAGAGGCTGCCTTTAGCAGTTAAAGAACTGGGAACATGTGATATTTATCCACAAGTGAGTTATGCTTGTTCCTACCTTCCTTTAAACTGAAAATAGTCAACCATATGGACCTTGACTTTTCTATTTTTCCACAGAGCTTGAAGCACAACCCAAATAGGAGGTATGCTGTTGTCTGTGGTGATGGTGAATACATCATATACATAGCTTTGGCATGAAGTACTGGTTGGTAAAAAATTCGTGGGGTGCTAGAAAGTATCACCCGAAAAACGATGGGCCAAAGGTAATATCTGTTGTTATATTGACTATTTTGCCCTTATTGTTTTTTATGGATCTGATTATTTTTTTTACAATTACAGGTTTCGTTTTTTAGTGATGATGAAGAGACTACTAGCACACCAAAAACAGATGCTCTTTTTATTCCAAGGGAGAATCCAAGAGCTCTGGTTATTCGCCCTCTTAAACGATGGCCTGGCAAATCATCTGCTGAAAAATTAAAAAACGCATCTTCTCCAGCACAAACAAATGGTAAACTAATTTTCTGCTGCTACCTTAAAAATAAAAATAATCATTTTTTATCTCATTTTTTTTTATTTGAATTCAGGTGATTACACTGGGTTTGCTTCTTCCCCTCCTTTAAATGGTCGCTCTACGGAAAACGGTAACAGTAAGATCATTTCTTTTACTGCAATTTGAATATTTGGAACTCAATTCCATACTAATATCAAAATCTTTGATTACAGGAACCATTCTGAAAATGGAACCCTAAAGGAACAAACACCAATCAAAACCCCCCAAAAACAAAACGGAGGATGTGATGGTGGCGAGATGGAAGATGGCTTTGAGTTTATCGTTAAAAACAAAGGCATCAACATTGAGGTGGCTTACCCATATCAAGCAACAGATGGAACCTGCAACACCAAGGATGAAGTTGTCCATGCTGCCACCATTACTGGGTATGAAAAAGTGCCAGCCAACAGTGAATCCGCATTGTTACAGGCAGTCGCTAATCAACTCCTATCAGTTGCCATTGATGCCAGTGGCATGGGTTTCCAGTTCTATTCAGGTGGCGTGTTTACTGGGGATTTTGGAACTGATCTTGACCATGGTGTTACAAGCTTATTGAATCAAATGGAGTTATATGTGGTTGTGTATATACTTGCAATCTTAGGCTTGGATAGTCTACAAGGAATCATGCTGGATCAAGGCAGCTGTATTGATACCTGTTGTACTTTTTGCAGGAAGGTAATTAAACTTTATTATTATTATTATTACTATTAATTACAAGTGTAACATGTTTTAAGTAAATTTTCATTCCTTCTACAGCCCTATTACAAATGATACGTGGCTCTGCAGTTCTTTAAGTTGTCACCAGAAGAATCATCAAAGGATCCATTATATCTTTTGAGGGACATGTCCAATAACAATAACAAAAACTAAAATCAAGTAAAAATGTTTGCTAAAATGCTTGTAATTTTATTAAATATTTGGCTTATATAGGGATGCCATGGGATACAAAATGGGACATTTTGTTTTAATTGCAAAAATAATCATTTCTGCACTAGGCTACTTGATGCTGGGAACTTTTATTTATGTGCTTATCGTTGATGGATCTACATTCAATGCCAATGTATTATCAAGGTACCATTTAAAATTTCCCTTTTATTTAATTTATGTAAAAAAGTGTAATAGTAAATGCTCATACATAGTTGTAAATGCTCACAGGTGCATGATAGCAACAACAACCGATTTCTATTTTTGTATTGTCATTGTAGCAGTAAGTCTTTGTTTATTATATACTTTCCAACTATAGTGAAAAGGAGATTTTTCGACTTTTGTTATAACAATAATGTTTGTTTGCTTCTTTTGATCAGGTGTGGATTGCATATAAGGAATCAAGGTGGATAAGTGCTTTCTTTTGGATACTTTCACTTCTATCTTTTTAGAGGGTAAGCATATATAGAAACTAGCTCACTTTCCTTTTTTCAATCTCTTAAGTATATAACTATATATGGGATGCAGTTTGGATTTACAATTGAAGGAATCATGGTATATTTCCAGGACCCTAAAATCATTTACATTGTCTTATTTTCTCAAAATATTAATTGTTTATGTTGCTTCCAAATACAAGGTATGAAAAGCTGCAATGGTGGGATGATGCCCTTAAAGCATACATTGCAAAATCTGCTCAAGCAACAAGTCAACGTCTTATCTTGGATGCTACACTAGGTATTATTCAAATATACCATGCCATGGTGTTATAGTATTTATATTATTATCATTTCAAGGTAATTAATTAAAATATTTGTTCATTCTTATGACGAATGAGGAGTTAGTGACAGATGGGTATATATTATATAATCAAAACAGTATAATTATAAATATTTTTTTTTACTATAAATAAATTATTTGAGTTAAAATGGCATGAATGATTTCAGGTAAATGGGGATGGTAATTCTTAAAATGGCTCCCATATATGTGAACAATATCCATTTTCAGTAAATGAGAAGGTTGTTATTTTTATTTATTTCACTTTTGTTTTCTATGTGAAGATATACTGACAAAAAATACATTACATGACATCATATGTTGGTTGAGTAGCTTTACGTGTTCTAACGGGTGGTGTTAGATGGAATTGTGATGATATACTCTCTAGTTTATATGATCAAAGATTGTCATTGTGAATATCATTGTTGATAGCTTTACAGATAATATTTACCATTTGTATGCAGGTATTCTTTTCATTGTGTTTGTCATTGTTGATATTAGGTAATTCATATTGTAGTGTATTTATTCCAAATCCCAAATTCTTTGGATGGAGAAAAGGGTAATTTTGTCTTTTACAACTAACATTCCAAGTTTGATTCTTCTAATAATTGTATTAACATATTAATTTTTTGCCTTTTATTTGATCAGGTCACAAGAATTATCGGAGCAGGGGTTCAATATTAGTCTTAAAGAAGTATGAAAGGCAAGATTCAACTCTACTTAGTTGGAATTTGATGTTTATCATCTTTGTGTATATCTTTTTAGTTTGTATAGCATTGCATTGCATAAGGTGTCCCTTAATAGCAATTTAGTATTATGTTATATATTTAGGGAAAACCTCTTAATAACAAGGTACACTTAGATCCCCTTAATATAAATGTATTACAATTTTTTGACATCATGTTTTTGGTATATATTTGTTTACATATGGAACGATTATTTGTATGACATTAAATTTATGCAATGGATTCTATTTTTGTATATGATATTTTATTATCTATTATTAAACATTAAATACAAATTTAATTTGAAAATAAGAAAATCTATAAATAATATTTTTTTAAACATTTAAAATTATGATACGCAAAAATGTGTGTCATCTTCATTTATGACATGGCCTTTCTTGACAGGGGCTTCCTTGATACGCATTGCGTGTCATAAACACGCGTGTCATAAGGTTACGACACGCAAATGCGTGTCGTCTTCCTTTATGACAGGGCCTTCCTTGATACGCATTGCGTTTCATAACCGCGCGTCGTAAATGCGCGTCATAAATGCGCGTCGTAAATGCACGTGTCTATAGACGACGCGCAAAAGTGCGTCGTCTCTCTTTATGACAGGACCTTCCTTGACACGCATTTGCGCGTCGTCTGACCGTTTTACGACGCGCAATGAGCGTCGTAAAAGGCCTTTTTTCTAGTAGTGTGTTCCCACCTTGAGTAGGAATTGACTTTAAATCACACACATCCGTGTGAATTAAATCAAGAGGTTTGGTGTTTCTTTTGATTGTTTGGAAATATAATCTAGTTTGTTTGGCCTCAACACATGTGGGTCATTTGTGATTTGAGTCAATATTAAGTTTTGGTATGTATTCTAGTTTAATTAATCGCTTAATAGAATTGTACTTTACATGTCCTAAGCGACCATGCCAAACATTTGAACACTCAAGCAAATAAGCAGAACTAGAACTTGTATTATTCAGTTTGTTTGTCACCATTACATTTAATTTGAACATGCCATTCAAGGCATATCCTTTTCCCACAAACATACCATTTTTGGACAAAACAAACTTGTCCAACTCAAACACTAGCTTAAAACCAAATCGGTTCAACAAACCACCCGACACTAGATTCTTACGAAGTTCAGGAACATACAAAACATCCCTAAGCTTCACTTATTTCCTGTAATTCACCCTTCGATTAATTCAAAAAAAACATTTGCTCAACAAATGAAAAAAACGCCACTTCTTAGATCGAAAAACCCACATGAAAACCAAATAGATCACTACCACTATGAAACCTATTCACCCTTATTCAATCCCTTTGAAATGGTTGTCAAACCCTCGTTCTTGAATCCCAACAACACCACCACTGGACCTATTTGAGAAAATTTATCAAACACTTGGCCTGCATAATTTGAAACACTTGGTATTTATAAATCTTAAAGTACTTCCTTATAGAAAACTCTAGTCATTATGTTTAATAAGTTGCCTTATTCTTCCATAATTACCATCTTTATTTCCTAGTTTTTTAAATCTAGATAAAACAACGTATAATTATTCGTGGTTGACCACATGTCTTAGCAAGAATAACCCAACTCTCAAAAGTGATTTATCTTGACTCTTATTGGTTGTCATTTCAAAATGCAACACCAAGTGGAATTGTTTGCGGGTAAAATTTAATGACATTCTTTTTTTGGATGAAGTTAAACGTATCCTGGGTATGAGCATTTTAGCTACAACATTATTTCTGAAAATGATTATTGCTTCAATCACATGTGATTTGTTATCCTAATTACATGCATGTTTGTTCTAACACACAAACCTAGATACTAATCTTTATAGTACAATAAACATTACCAGAGTATCTATTTTCAACTTTAATTCATGAATCGGTAATTCTAAGAATTTGATGGAGTGGAGGACATCGGGTGAGTACAACGTTTCACAAACTTGTAATAGTTTCAATTTTACAATTTTTCCAAACTTAAATATGTTTGTGAATCACAGGCATCTATTAAGCATATACTTATTTTTTGGTCTACTTTTTTATTTGTAGATTCCAAAATAACATGTTAATGAAAATAGGGGACACTTGGTAATTTTAATAAGAAAGAGCGATACATAAAATCAATAATTTCCTGAATAGAATAAGCATCCTTAACAAAAATGTTCTTGGGAATTTCAACCTCTACTTACCTATCATTATACTCACCAAACAACACCATCACCAATTTCAATATCTACTATGCAGATTCTTCAACTTTGAGAAACTATTTTGGATCATACCTACTCATAACTGAATATTGATAGTCAACATTAATACCTTATAGTGGTCCTAAAGTTTTGGAGAATTAATATAGGTATAAACGATATCTTGCCTACTTCTATTTGGTATGCCATGGGGAATCTACCTAAAATCCCCTTGAAAAACAAAAACTTTCCCACCAAATGGTAGAACATTGTAGCCATTGTTTTGTACTCTTAAAAATTTAGAAAAATTATGATCTAAAGCCTTAACACTAAGTCTATATACCATTGGTGCCTTATCCCAAATAATTAGTTTTGTCTCCTTAAATAACTAATGAAACTCACTATTGATAACAATGGAACAAATTGAGTCTTCATCAACATTAATTAAAATTAAAAATCTTGAATGAGTAGTGTACCTTCCTATAAGCAATAATGAAGCTATTCCACTTGATGCAATAGTAAGAACTAAATATCCTTCCGAACGCATACTTGCACATACATTCCTCCAAACATATGTTTTTTTTTCTTCAGTTCCACTATATCGATAAATAAAAGACATTCCATAATCTCCATTAATAAAGAACATTCTAGTTCTACCATATCTATAAATAAAGAACATTCTTCCATTATTAATGTCTACATATTTGATAAACATATCATATGAACCATTAGAGCCTCATCCCAAATAATTAGTTATGTCTCCTTAAGCAACTAACATAGCTCATTGTCGATAGCAATGGAAAAAACTGTGTCTACGTTAACATTATTCAGAATTACAAATCTTGAATGAGTAGTACACCCTCCTGTAAGAAATAGCAAAACTATTCTACTTGGTTAAATAGTAAGACAAATATTTTAATTCGAACGTACATTTGTAGATAAAGTTGTAGTGCCTGTTTTTTCTGTAAAACCATGACATAAAAGATATATGTGAAAGCCCCATTAGCCACTCGATCATGGGTCTCTAGGAACATAAGGGCCCAATCATCCATGTTAGGGACCACATCAAAATGCCACAAATAGTAATGCACTTTTATTTTTAAAAGATGAAACAGATAGAAAAAATATATATGAATCAATGTATAATGGAATATGTTAGTTAGCATAATTTGTTTTTTTTTTTCATATAATAGCATCATACTCTTATAATAGCATCCATAGAAAGTTGGGGGAGGGCCGTAGATGATATAGTAAATATGACAGCTTATAAAATGACATTTTCTACAAATACAATAGTCAGACAGACATATATAGAGAAGAATTAGGATGCTATAACAAAGATACCAATGCTAATACATTGTTTTTCATTATACCTAAAATATTATATGTTGCTTATGGAGAAAGTCTACGGTCTCCATACACACTGATTTTATAAAGCATGGAAGAATTTGAGTATCTACAAATAAGTCTTTTATATTTAGTTCTCAGTTTGTATATGATAATATAAATATTTTTTGTTAAAATTTAATTAAACTACATTTCAGTGGCTAATATGAAAATTTAACCCATGGATAATATGAAAACTGACCCATGGTTTACTATATTTATATGAAAAACTTTCCTACTTCAATTTGTTGTTTTGCATCTAATAACATGCTAATTTTTCTAATAGCATCTGGAGAAAGTTATAGGTGTTAAGGATCTTATAATAAAGATGACAGACTAGAAATTAACCTTTTCTACACATACACTAGTTATATTTAATTATAGTAGACCTTTTGTACACATATACTTGTCATACATACCTATATAAACAAAAGGTATGATGATATAATAATAATAATACCAATGAAACTACATTATTTTTCCTTTCATTTTAACCCAAAACATTGTATGTTGCTTTTGTTTGTTGAAAATAATTCAGAAATTTATTTATCTAAGTTTATTTATCATGCACGTTTTATTAGTTTATTAGAAGTTGAATAATTCAAGATCACATGGAAGCTGTTCCCTGGTCTTTAGCAAGTAGCCAGATAGTTCCAATTTCTCTGCATTTTTTTTCATTTAAGACGATGAGTAAAGTGTATGTTGTAATTTATCACTTCCCTTCCATTTTTTACCAAATAATACACGAAGCTTTGCCAACTCTCTCTGTTCTTCCATTTCTTTTCATTTGTTTCTTGTAAATTTGTGTTTGAAAAACCTATCGAACCCAAAATTTTGTATAAAAGGTTTCTTGGTGTATGCCAAAGTATCAGCCTTGTGCAATAGAGATGTCAGGAAACAATGGTGAGAAGGAATGGAATGTTACTCTTCACTATCCTATGTTGTCACGATGTAATTATAGTGCATGGGCCATAAAAATGAAGGTTTTCATGCATGCCCAAGGAGTATAGGATGTAATGGAACCGAGGACATCAAACACAGTGGTGGAAACAAAGAAAGACAAAATGGCAATGGTTGCAATCTATCAAGGAATACCATAGGATCTTCTACTCTCACTGGTCGAGAAGAAGACTGCAAAAGACATGTGGGATGCTTTGAAGACTCTATATATGGGGGCAGATAGAGTGAAAAAAGCAAGAATTCAAACTCTGAAAACAGAGTTTGAAGCCATGACCATGAAAGAGACAGAAGGGGTGGGTGATTTTGCAGTGAATGTTAGCAATATAGTGAGTACTATGTGTATCCTTGGTGACACTTTGGAGGAATCCTATATTGTAAAGAAACAATTGAGGGTTCTGTTTTCTTGATAAAAAAATCTATTAGAATGAGATATTCAACAATTG